CAACGTTATTTGGCTTTTATTTAGGACAATGGGGTTATGTACGTCAAGAAAGTACACTACTCTCACAAACTTCAGGTACAATATCCATCTGGTCTTCTCATATGTTTGTTTATAATGATGGCACATCTTGATCATCGTGCACAATTCATTAAATATTTGAAAACTTTAAAAAAAACCGTTGGTTTTCATCACTTTCATGTACAGGATATTAAAAATGTCTGAAAGGCAAAAGGACTAATTTTACTTTTATAAAAATAGAGGTAGGTAAAAATATTAGATTGGCCGGTATAAAAGCAAATACTGTTGAAACGATGATTCAGAGAGTAAAAGGATCAAAGATTATAAATCTTATATTCCAGTAACGAAGATAAACAATGGGTATCATTCTTCTTTTTATTATTATTCTCATATTAGGAATTCTAATAAAAAAATTGCTTACTCCTGCAATTAATCCATATCGTTTTCCAAAAATCCATAATTGGGCTAAACAAGGAAAATATTTTAATTTTAATGGTTATCCAATATTTTATTATGATTCAAATATACGTGATACAACAGCTAATTCAAAACCAACATTATTGTTATTACATGGATATCCAACTTCATCGATAGATTGGTTATATATGCGAGATGAATTAGAAAAACGATTTCATTGTATTGCTCCGGATTATATCGGTTATGGTTTATCAGCTAAACCAGTTTCATTTTCATATACGATTTTTTCACAAGTAGATATGATTGAAGAATTAATGAATTCTTTACAAATCAAACAATTTCATATTATGGCTCATGATGTAGGTACTACAATTACTCAAGAATTTTTAGCAAGACAAATTGATAATAGAAAATATATTATTCAATCAACAGTATTTCTTAATGGTGGTTTATTTCCTGAATCTTATCGTCCATTTTTGTCAATGAAACTATTAAAAACACCTATAATTGGAGTTATTTTGCAAAATATACTTCCTCGAGCACTATTTAGTTCAGCACTTAATCGTATATTTGGTCCATCAACAAAACGAACTCAACAAGAATTAGATGAAATGATAGATTTATTATTTTTCAATGCTCCATATAATCTATTACAACAATTACAATGTTATATTAATGAACGATCTATAAATAGAGATCGATGGGTTGATGCAATAAATAAAGTACAAACATTTACGAAAAATCCTATTCCAATTAGACTTATAAATGGACCATATGATCCAATTAGTGGAAAACATATCGTCGATAGATATCGAGAAATTATTACTAATCCTGATACATGTCTATTAAATGCTGATATTGGTCACTATGTAAACTTAGAAGATCCAGAAAATACATTAAAATATTTTTTTAATTTTCATGATACCATTTCAACTTAAGTTTTCATTTTAAAAGATAAACATTTTTTAAAGACAAAGATATTTATTTTCAAACAAAATATATATACAGATTAGTCACTAAATCGACTTCGTTTTGTTGTTGATGATGGATCATTTTTATTAGATTGTTGCCCAGTTCGTTTTTGTGTTACGGAACTAGGTACAGCTACTGAATGACTTTTAAGACCAGTATCTGTTGCTGCGACCTATAGAAAAAAAATTCAAGTTGTTCTGCAATGAAAAAAAATGAGTAGAATATATACAAAGCTTGATTTAAATTGTGTTTGAAATGCTGATTTCATAGCTGAAGTTCGATTAGGACCACTCATGCCAGCTGATGATACACTTGAACCTCCACGCCAATCTGTCATTGGACCTACTGCAGTCGTCTAAGAAAAAACCAATGAATTGAATGTAATAATAATAATAATATACTTTTTTTGTTGGTGGTCCGTCATAATCAAAAGGATTTGATGAATCAATAGTTGTTCTAGATGTTGATACAGATGGTCCACTATCTGAACCAAAACCTGGTCGTTCACGTTGTACACGGCTACCAAGTGCAAAATGTTTTCCGCCACCATGTCGAGATCGACTATTAGCAAAATTACTAGTCTAAATATTTATAATATATACATTATCTTTTCGTTTTCAATATATTTACTAACTTGCATAGCCATATTAAGTAAATCTAATGATACAGTTTGATTTGCATTTTCTAAATTTCTAACTAAATTTGGTGCAAAATCTTTATCTGTGGGTGTTAATAATGTATATGCTGTTCCTTTTTCTCCGGCACGACCTGTTCGACCAATTCGATGTGTATGTGTATCAATATCGCGTGCAATATCATAATTAACTACCGTTTTTATTGATGGTATATCAAGACCACGTGCTAATTAAAAAATAATAGAAATATTTTATTCAAAAAAAAAGAATAATAACAAACCAGCTACATCTGTAGCAACTAATATTGGTATATCTTTCTTTTTAAAATCACTAATGACTTGTGAACGATCAAATTGTGCCATATCACCATGAATGAGACCAGCTAAATTATTATTTTAGTTCAAAATTCGCTTTTATTTGTTAGATATCTTACCAGTAAAACCATTTTCTTTAAGATTTCTTGCTAATTCAGCACAATTATCTTTACGTGTAACGAATATTAACACTTTTCCTACTGAAGAAATAACGACGAAATCAATCAATTCCATAATAAAATTCAATCAATACTTACACACAGTCAACTCAACAAGTTTTGATAGAAGCCATGTCCATTTAGCAGGTCCATTAGATACAATATGAACTATTTGAAGAACATCTTGATTAGCCTATTGAATAAGATGAATTAATAATATATACATGATAAAAATGAAACTTACTTCGCCAACTTCACCTTGAACAATACGAATAGGATCAGCCAGAATATCTCGTGCTATATGAACAAAATAAATTGAAAAATATGAAATCATTTATTAAATAATCTCACCTAATCTTTCAACTTTTTTCTTAAATGTTGCACTAAATAATAAACATTGTCGATCAGGACGTATATGATCAGCAATTGAACGAACTTGTGGTTCCTTTTTTTTAAATAATATTAATTCATAATCAATACTATTTCTTAAAAACTTACAAAACCCATATCAAACATTCGATCAGCTTCATCAAAAACTACATATGTAACACGTTGTAAATTAGTTCCTTTTTTCTTTACTAAATCAATTAAACGACCCTAAAATATCACAAAAGAAAATTAAAATATTCGTAAATCATCGTATTTTTTATAACATACAGGTGTACAAACAAGTATTTCACATCCTTCTTTACAAGCCATTATTTGTTCATGCATATTTCCACCACCGAATGCACAACAAGAATTGATATTATATGGTTTACCATATTTTTTACATTCCAGATGAATCTGTTGAGCTAATTCACGTGTTGGAGCTAAGATTAAAACAATTGGACCATCATCAACTTTAAGTTGTTCCTGTTTAAATAGATAAATCAATTTAAATTTAAGAAATAAATAAATTACTTGAGCCATAATATGCACAATAGCTGGCCAAACAAAAGCACCAGTTTTTCCACTACCTGTTTTAGCTATACCGATAATATCTCGTCCACTTAATGCACTTGGAATGGCCTAAAGAGAAAAGCTATTTCTATTTTTCAAAAAAAGTTATAGATTTTTACTTGTGTTTGAATTGATGTTGGTGTTGAAAATTCTGATTTACGAAGACTTTTCATTAAACGTTCATCAAAACCAAAATGAGCAAAACTAACAACTGGACGAGGAATATTTATACCACGAACCTTGAAAATTTTTTTTTTATATTAAAATAAATATTATTAGAAAATGATTTACATTAACACCAAGTTTATGTCTTAATTCATTCACTTGATCATCTGATAAATTACGAATCTCTTCATGTTCAATGTAAAAATTCTTTTCAAATGATGAGTATTCAATTTGAGAATGATCAATAGGTGGAAGAGGATCAATAACCTTAGATACCTCAGGTGCAATTAAATTACCTAAAAACATAGAGAAATAAAAAGTTGTTCTTTTTTTGTAATAAAAATAAATACCATCATCATCATATTGTAATTCTCGATCTTCATCATCATCATCTCCAATTGGTAAACCAGCATTTGGATTTTCTTCAAGCCAACGAAAATATGATTCTTGATCATCTTCTTTATCAATATCATCACGTACTCCTCTAGATTAATTTTATTTTAATAGATAATTAATTTTGATATTATTTACTTTTCTTGTTTCTTTTCTTTTTTCTTTCCAATTGCGTCTAAATCTTTTTTTGCTTGATTATTATTTGCTTTCATAAATTGTTCAAGTGGATCTTCATCTTCATCATCATCGTCATCATCATCTTTTTGTTCAGGTTTATAACTAGGACTACCTGGTGCTGGTAGATAATCTAAATCATCATCCATTTTTTGATTCTTAGCTGCTTTAGCTTTATTATATGCAACATCATCGAGATCATCTGCTTCAAAATATCTAAATATCTAAATATATTTATTGATAGGAGTAATAAGTTAACTATACTCTTGTTCAGTACGATGTGCTTGAGTAACAACTTCAGTTTTTCTTACATTAGCACGTAAACCACTCGGTAAACTAGATAGAAAAAATTAAGATTATGAAATAATTCATAAGGAATTCTTACGGAAAGAGTTGTTGTAATTTTGGATCAACAGGTTTGTTATTAGATGACATTTCGTAACATAAGAATAAGATGAAATCGGAAAATCAATTCTTTTTTTAAGAAAGAAAATGTAAAAAAATTATTCGATTCGTCAAAGAATCAATCTAGTAAGAAGAATTAGATATTTCTCTCACGATGTCGCTATACGATAGGAACAAATATATTAAAAATGAATTATAATTAAGGTATATATTCTAATATTTCAGTGAACATGAATTAGTAGTGCATTTCATTGAATGTATTCCCCGAATGGGAATAGAGAATTTATTGGCAGATGGTTTATTATTAATAAATAGAAATCATGAAATAATATTTATTTCAAATTGATTTATCAGAGTTTGTATGATTTAGAAAAGTCGGTGAAATATTTCAAGTATGATAAGTTAAGTAACAAAAATATGTTATATAAAGTAAGCATCTTGAAAGAGACAGATGAGTATAAGAATACAAATGAACTAGTTCGTTTATATAGATATCATGACACGTCACCTTATGAATCGTATAAGATTATTATCAATGACGTGTATAAAGTGATGAGATTATATCAATCGATTATTAGTGACTTAATGTCTAGATGAAGAAAGGAGGTTTCAAATCTATTATATCTTCATTTCTAAATAACTTTATTATGAAAAACAACGAAATATATACGATATCGGTTTTATATTGTGGTCATTCCTATTTATCAATGGTGGAAAAAATAGGAAGATATTTTGATCGTTTAAAAATATTTTTACATTGAACAGCATTGAGCGTGAAATTGAAGAGATCACAAATCAAGCATATTTAGTTTGATGAGAAACAGCAATACTAATTTCAAGGTTTTTATATTAATGAACATAATTTACTGCTAGTCATTTATGTATGAGAATTTTTTTGTTGAAAAGAATACAGATACAGTTTTATTTTATTCAATCGACAGATGAATTCTACTAGAACAATAATTATTGTTCATATATATTCACTAATTTGATGTCTGTGTCTTTGAATCGATTATATACACAAACATGAAGCATGTCATGTTGTAATTTCTACGTTTCAGATCAAAGATAAATGATATATAAAATATAATGTGTAGGCAGATGCTCTTATAGACATACATACATACATGTATGTCCGGTTTTACAAGCAAAGCGTTGTTAATATTATAACATTTCGTTTTCTTTTCAGCAAGTTCCGTATTCTTTTTCTATTCTCTTCCTTTAAAGACAACAACAGAAAAAAAAACTTGCCGCTTCCTTTTGCTAATGTGATTTTATCATGAATGCTCATCTCAATTTCAGGAGTAAATGAAATAATAAAAAAAGAAAAGCGCGTAATCATCGTCGGTGATCTGGTATGATTGAATGAAATAAGCCGAAGTATAAACATGATCTATTTTGTTGTTAGTGAAGACGACAGAAAGTGATAATCGTCTAGGCTAAAAGAACAGAATGAAGCACATACATCAAACACGATTATTAAACAAACAAACATCCTGCCATGCCTTGACTCTTATCAGTTAAACAGTAGCAGCATTCCCATTGGAGATTATTCTTTTTTATATTTATCGATAAATTCTATTAATGAATCGACGAATTTATTTAAGTAAAAAACAAAAAAGTCAGGATTGCGTACTTGTTGTGTGAAATTTTAATTTCACACCTTGTAACCTACTGGATATTATCCAGTCGATATTATTGTACGTAGACAAACGCATATCCAACCGTGACGTCAAACAAAGCACTCGAAAAAAATATTTATAGAACAAAAAAAGAAAAGGCGATAAGGTTTTTGTCTATCATGCTAAATAATCTGAATGGTGTATAAAAATATTCTACATCGATCATCAACAACCAATCGGATGTGTTCTATAGGAGTCGAGGTAGAAAGAAAAAGGACGAAACGATAATTTTTTTTTCCTATTATTGGATAGAAAAAGTAGAAGGAGAAAGAGTAAACGTATACGATGTATATCTATTAAGAGAGAACGAGAGAGAGAGAGAGAGGGAGAGAATAGAAGAGGAGAGAAAGAAAGTTACGAGTCAATAAGTGAACCAAACTCAATCAGTCAATCGTACAAACACACACATCATCTTGACGATTAACAGAGCTATATACACTAAATATCAGAAGATACTATTACATTTACGAACTAGTCTAATTATTAATAAACAGGTGATTTAAAAAAATGTTTAATTCACCAAATGATAGTTATACATCTTCACCAACTTCACCATCCGGTGTAATATTTAATCGACATCATCATAATTCTCGTTATCATCCATATAATCGAATTTCAACATCATATTATCCAACAAATGAACTTGAAACATATTCATTTGATAATAATAATATTAATACGAATAATCATAATCAAACTGTACAAAATTATGATCATTCAATCATGCCATATGATTATAATCTTGCTTGGACAACATCATCATCTTCTATTGACAATGAAATAAGCATTGAAGGACAAGCAACAATCGGATCAAATCTTGGTGGAACAGGTATAGTCAAGTTTCCTTGTTTTTCTTTTTATTTTCGAGCACAGAAAACTTTTTTATACGTTTTAAGGTGCTCCTCGTTGTTTTAAACGACGTGTCTCAGCTAATAAAAAAGAGCGCCGTCGTACACAATCTATAAATACAGCTTTTTCCGATCTACGCACAGCGATACCCAATGTTCAACCTGACACAAAATTATCCAAGATAAAAACACTTAAATTAGCTACAAAATATATTGAATTTCTCATGGATATATTATCTAAAGATGATCCAACAGCCATGCCAAGTGCATTTAAAGCTGAAATTATTAAAACAAGAAAAGATCATAGAGATCTAATGAAGGTAAGAATATCAATTAAGAAAAAAAAAATAACAAATTAATTATTTTAATATCTTTATTTTTTTTTATAGTTTGATAACTCATTATCACCACGTAAAATCAAAGGACGAACAGGATGGCCACAGGCAGTTTGGCAGTCAGAATTAAATCGTAATGAAAATTTTCAACAACAACAAAATCAATCAACTAATGAAACAAATCCTTTACCTCAAACATTGCCACCACAATTACAATTGAATACATCATCCGGAAGTTTATCAAATTCACCTACACTTTCTCATAGTAGCTCATCATCGAGTACAAAAACAATACACAAACTACGCACATATGACAAGCCGTATTTAAGACATAGCAATGCAAAAATGCGATAGCCATATAGATATGACAAATAATGCCATCACGTCGTTTTTTTTCTCTTGCATACCGGTGTTTGTACATAGATTTGATAGTGTGTGTGTGTTGTTCTGATTGTAAGAAATATATATATATATATATACTAAAAGTAAATGACTTCATTTAAACTCATTTGAATGCACTCAAGACATATCTAAATGTTTTATCTATCTAAACTTAATCGAGCGAAGACGATTTTCAAACTCATCAACATATAAATTGCTTTAGGTGAAAAATAAGAAGATGTCAACAATGACTATTTTATTCTAAGCCCTTGGACTTAATCGAATGATATAATCATTTAATAGATTTTTTTTTTGTGTATATCGATATAGGTAAATAAAAAAAGATTCATTTTTATGTGTACACACGTATCAAGGAGAGGGGATGTCTAGAAATAAGAGCATTATCTGTTTAACTTCTTCAATATCGCGTGCGATGAAGACTAATAATAATCGATTTGTATGTGCACAGAGATACATATTGACAGTGTTCATATGGGACATGCTGCCAACATTTTTCTGTCGTTCATATTAATAAGTAAAGGAATTAATGTTCATGTTGTTTTTTTCTATTTAGAAATAGATTTGAATGTGCGAACTTATTGAACTAATATTTATAATAAAAAAAAAAGGAGGGACACATACAGAAAAACTTGTCACGCTAGATTTAATTATTCATTGCAAGTAGAAAAAAAGCAAACGAAGTCTTTATATTAAAATAGTTAATCAATTATTCTTCCTCTTATATCAACAATAGGAAAGAGAGATCTGTTCAATATCAATCATTTTGATCAAGAAGGAAGAAGAAGAAGAAGAGGAGATATAGCCAATTATCATTTGATGTATTATCTATTCATATAGAATGAATAAGATTTGATATGAATCAAAAATTTTTAAAAGGTAAACGATAGTTCTATTTCATCTCTTCATTTTATTTTATTTTTTTCTATTCGAGAAAAGAGATCAAAACATAATAATGTTTTGTCTTCAGTAAAATCAACAGTTATTAATGTGAATAACATAAAAAAGTATAATATGTCTAGCGAATGAACAATAGATGAGTTATAATATGTTTTAAGGACACGTACAAAAGAATACACGCGTGTTCTGACAAGATGATTATTCATCAAAAACTACTAATGGGACGACGAGTACGGATGACATATAATCCATATGATATATATGTATACATATATGCCTTAAGTAAAAGAAAGAATGTCTTCATCAATCTTTAGTTGAGGAAAAGTATATTTGTCTTATTAACAATTAACAATGAAGTATTTCACAAGGTATACATTCACGAAGTAGAGAAAATGTTTCTATTAAAAGATAAGCTATAATCGAACCAATTAATGCACCTAATTGAACATTTACACCATACCAAAACATTCCATTTGATGAATAATTTCGAACATAATTTGCAATAATTAAACGAGGATATCCCAATAATACATAAGTACTAAGCCAAATAAATAAAATAAAAATATTACCTTTTGTTGTATTAACAAATGGTGGACATGGACTTTTAAATGAGACATATAAATCAAATGAAAATGTTATTGTACCCAATAGAATAAATAATAATATATAACGTTTAGATATTATAGGTTTTATCATACCTAAAATCCAAATTAATGTTAACATCCATGGTGATAAAATTGTTCCAAGATAAAATATTCGATGTCCATATGGCATTAGAACATATGTTGAGATGGAAAGAAGCATTCCGAATAGAATTGAACTTGTATATGTACATCCAAATGAAAGAAGAAGGTAGGATGTTTTAGTTAACTGAAATGATTCAGATGGAATAGTAGTAACATCTTGTTGTTCGACAAGTGTATTTACAGTTTCATTATTATTATTATCTTCATTTGTTTTCGATATAAATTGACGTGAATTTCGTGCGATTTTTGTCCATTGTAAAAGTATAAATGCAATAAATGAAATTGTTAAAAGTATAAATAAACATAAGAAATAAATTGAAACTGAAAATCGTGCAGTTTTATAAACAGCAGTTGTTGTATTTGTTCCATTAATTAATGATGATGTACAATAAAGTTGACCATTCCCTTGTCCAATCGCTAATAAACTTGGTATAACTGATGTTAAACTTTCCCCAAGAAAAAGTGCACTTGTAAATTCGCGTCGAAATTTTTGTATATAATCAGCAAATGAAACTGATGATGTACAATCGAGTAATGATAGAAAAAATGCAAGTATAAGAAGTGTTAAACTATAATTTTGATTTTTTATTATTGCTGTACGTTGCCAAAAGAAAATCAGCAGAAAACATGATAACATACCAATACTAATAACAACATAATTTATTGGAATAGAATTAAGTGTACGTTTTTTACTTAAACATTTTATAATAACAAGTGTTAATGGTGCAATATTACCAAAGTTTGTAATAAGTGCAAGATATGCGCCAAGTTTCCAACGTTCTGGTTGAGTTAAAATAATTTGTGGTAATTCAGCAAATATACCATTAATATCTGTCCATGATGAAAGAAAAACAAGTGTTAAAAGACTGTAAGTTATATATTCCTTTACTGTCCACTTATTTTCAATCATTCTGAAAAAAATAAATGTAAGAAGAAAAACAAAACAGAATATACAAAAATTGTACAAGTAATATACGAAAAAAAAAAGAAACCATAATTCGTACTCGTGTTTCGTGCATATTTCTCTTTTTTTTCTTTCTCTCTCTTACTTGTATAAACAATGTGTTTAGAAAAAAAAGACCAGATCTGAAAATATCAAAGGTCAACGTAATCGATATCCTTTTTTAAACCATAACAAACGTGGTATTTTACATTCATAATTATCTAAGTAATCATATTGTTCATTATCATCAAATAGATTACTTTTGTCTTGTAGAATAATTATTATATAATAAATATATAAAACTATTAATAATATAAGATAGATCAGATAAAAATAAACATCATTATTCATTCTGTTGCTATGAATTGTAGAGAAAAAAAAGAAAAAAGAAAGATTAACGATTTTATTTAAATTAATAACATATTAGTAAAAAGCTCATTTAATTAATCGGAAATAGAAAGAGAAAAAATTACGAAAGACTTTGATATAATAATGAAAAAAAATATAGTATGTCAATTGTTTATAAATTTTTCGTGCATTGAGCTGGTGGATTTGAACCCTAAAAAAGGTATATGTTTAATATGAATATTGATAAAATTTAATTTCGAAGAAATTACTTTATAAGATTTGCATATAACTCCGATAAGATCTTTTTCAGCTGCTTGTTCCATTTCTTCTGTATGTTCACCATTGATTGTTATCCAAGGTACATATTGATGAGGTGGTTGAAGACTATCTGTTTGGTTAGCATATAAATGTTGTAATTGATTACCTAATCGACTTTGTACACATGAATTAACTTTATTAAAATCAATTGATGTTTTTTCTGCACATTGTGTAGCTACTGTTTCAATATCACCATCAGTTGATTCAGTACAATAAATAAATGGCTAGATAATACAAAGATGAAATACAGTTTTTTTAATAAAATAATTTATTCTTACTAAATGTGCTGTTGTATTTGGGTATAGATGTATAACACAAGTCTAAGAAAAGGGGAATTTTTATAAAAATGAAATAAAATTAATTTATTTACATGAATTAAATTTCCATAACATTCATCAGAACCATGTTGACAATAGAATTGGTATAATTGAGTTTCAGGTCGATATACTTCACGTGCATTTCCATATGGAACAAAACTTATATTAACAATACTAAGAATTGATTGATAAGCATTCCAAACTTGTGTTTTAATAAAATCTCGACAATCTGGACAAAGAGTTTCATAGTAAACAGTTAAATTAACACGATCATCTGCAGCATGAATATTCCAAACATACTTATTACATTGATCAATTACCTGATATTAGAATTTAACAAAAAAGTGAGATCGAATAAATATTTTTTTCATATAAATACATACACCACAAGCTTGTGCAATATCTTTATTATCACACCAATTAGCTGATGATTTTGGGCAATTGACGGCTAAACCACCACTGATGTAGAAAAAAAGGATCGTTGAAAGTATAAACGACACATACATGTTGATAGCAATATCTAAAATGATGAAAAAGATAAGACTATAAAATAAATGTAAGGAGTATTAACTACAGGTCATATTTATATATTCTTTTTTTAAATGGTTATCTAAGTTTTTTTTATAATGATAACGATATTAAATTAAAAACTTAGATGAGATATCATAAAATATCTCATGGGAAATTGTTATTTTTTTGTTATTGATATTTGATTAATAATAGAAAATGGAAAAAAAATATCCAGGGTCAAAATTACAAAAATCTATTATTCAGTTGAAAGGTAAAAGTATTATTACATTCTATACTCATGAGTAATGAATTTTTTTTTATTTGAATTTTAAAGAACTTTTTTTTTGTTCTTGTAGATATAATTATTACATAATGTTTAAATGTACTTTTTTAAATAGAAGAAAAAATCCATTTTTATCATGCATCGTCATATTTATCGATGATTCATAGATTATTTAGTGCCTCAACTGAATGACGTATGTTGATATAAAATAATCTCTAAATGCAAATGTGCTAATTCTCACGATATTATTAAATAACCGCCATCAGCTTCTTATTTTTCACATAATCTAAATGAAATTTAATCCGATGATGGTTTAATATTTATAATAAAGAAGATTATTCAAAAGAGATATTATAATTATTGTAATATAAATATAATACTATTTCAGTATTTAAATAAATTCAAATTTAAAAGATATTAGTTATACCATTATTAATAATAAAGATTTTTATATTCTGGAAAAAAGAAAAGAAAAGAAATTATATTTTTGATCTATCTTCCTCATTGTCCATATTAGTTCTTTTATTATCGCCATTTATCTTTAATAAATAACATTAAAAAAAAAAGAAAAAAAAGACATGCACACTCTTCCAAGAAAAAAAAACATGAAGTAAAACATTTCAAGAATCATCATCGACGGATATCGAAAGAAGAATCAAGGAATGTGTCTTATATAAGTACATAGAAAAAAACATCCTAGAGAAATAGTTGTTATATAATAGTAAATGAAATTTTGTAGAAATAAAGACATGTCAAAATACAAAATACTAAATCGCACAGAATATTATCACATGTAGAAAAGAAAAACATTTATCATTTTAAGAGGAGTCAAATATATATTTATATATATATATATATTGTTTTTTTTGTTATGCTTCAGTGATCAATAACTAATAAATGATAAAAACTGGCGACAAAAAATAAACATGGACGGAACTCTGTTCTTTTCTTTTTCGGTCAATTATTTTTCCTTCCAAATCTGTTCGGAAAGATACTGTATTGAAAAAAAAAGAAGAATTGCTTTGTATTGCATCTAGATTAATAATAATCTATAATTGCCAAAAGAATAAATAATAAAAATAATATGTGTGTACGTATATATATGTATGTATATATAAATATATATTTTGGAACATTTATGTCCAAAACCAAGCAGGTGCTAAAATTTCTTTAGCTGGTAAACGTGGTCCAAGATATTCTTTTGAAAGAAATTTATGTGGTATCAATACTAAATAACCACGTACTGATTGAAGTAAACGTCGTGCTTCATCAGGATTAGTTTCACAAAGTTTCGACGCTGATTGTATTTCACGTAATTGTGTAAATGTAAATGCTGAATCCGTTGGTATACAATTAAATATCTTAATTGAAAGAAAAACAAATAAACAAATCAATATAAAGATAAAATAAATAAACAAAAAGAAAAAATTCTAAACCTTTTCAAACATTGTTGTATTTCTAGCTGCTGTTGATAACCAAATATCTTTGTAAAATGAATCTGATATTGGATCTTGATAGTTTATTTGTGTTCCATCAAAATCTCCCAAATGTTCTCGAAATAATCTTTTACGTAAACCACTTGCAAATTTTCCTACTTGAATATCATTTCCATTCATTTTTCCATGTACAAATTCTGTATCTTCAAATAGAACAGATATTTCAGAATCTCGATCACCAATTAAACTTCTATCATTGATATTTGCTGATCCAATTAATACACGAGTATCATCAACAACAACTAATTTACTATGTACATAAACAATTTCTGATACAAGACGTCCATTCATTTCTGACCATGTTCGTAAACCAAAAAAACATATATAACGATGTGGATCACCAACTTCTTTTGATAAACGAGCTAATAATGATTGTTGACCTTGTGATATGGATCGATAATTCCAATGTGTTATTGCTTGTAATGCTGTTGCTTTTGATGTACCATATTGACCTTCAAAACCGGGTATTAATGGCATGACAATATAAACACGAAATGTTTCTTTTTCTCTACAAAGAAAATATTTACAAAAAAAAATGTCATTTAAAAAAAAATATTTTTCTTTACTGATGTGCACGTATAATTCGTTTAAATAAAGCATCAGCTATACCATTATGTACAGTTGAATCACCAATTAATGAAACAAAAAATTGATTTTCAATATAAATATAATATTTTGCTTTCGTTATCATATCAATAAATGCCATATGAATAGATTCTTCAGTCTCATTTCTACCTGTTGACCATCGACCAACACTTCTTAATACCTATTAGAAATAAAAATAAAATAAAAATGAGAAACAAGATTTTTTTTTGTTTTTACTTGTGTTGAACAATTAAATGTATTAGAAAGAAGTTTAGGACATGGTGTATATGCTCCATAAGATTTTGGTAATAAAAATGGATAACGTTCATCATCTTTAACTTTTTGTCTTTTTATAAAATTCCATCGTTCAATAAAATGTCTTGCTAAATCTCGTGCAGCAGCACCATATACAAAACCTCCAATATCATGCCATGGCATACGTGGTGTTGTATTACGATCAATTTGATCTTGAAATGGTTGATCAAGATTACGAAAATCACGAAGTAAAAAATTTGCATAATCTTTTCCAAACCACATTTTTGATGAACCTTGTAAACCAAGTTGATGTGTTGTAGATTTCATTGCTGGGCCAATAAATGAACTCATATCATCATGTAATGAATCATGATAAGAATCATTATGATCAATATCTGATTCATCTGATTCATTAAAATCTGAACGTTGTCTCCAACTTGTCTTAAGATTTAATGTCACACGACGTATTTTATCACGTAAACGATTACGATCAATTCCTTGAGCAGCATTAACACCAAGATAACGACTAGAAAATGGGACTGATTGATTCTCGGAAGAATTTGTTTGTATTATTGGTGTAAGACCTAATGTTGAAACATCTTCTGTTGATTTTGTAAAACGATAGATTTTTGATTGAATACCAAGTTTTAATCTTTCCCATCGAGACCCACTGTCTAAAATTTCAAACACATATATTTATATAAAGAAAAATAATGAAGCAACAAAGAAAAAGAAAATATATAAATCGTGCAAAACTTATTACAATGATTAGAATATTTATCATTTATAATAAGTTACAATGAAATAATAATGATAAAAGAAAACCGAAGAAAAAAATAGAGAATATATTAAGTGTAAGGAACAGACAAGTGGAAACATTCTTACTTACAAGACTCTAATGGAGAATAAATATCCTGGTCTGTAAATGAATTAGTTTTACGATAGATTTATTTTAGACTTTATTTTTTTATTTAAGAAATTTTTTGTTTTAAAACATACCTTTATTCAAAGCATCAATTGTTTCACGATGAAATGGTGTATCAAATGAATAGGATCGTTTAAGTGGCCATATGACATCTCGTTTCTTTTTTTGTTCATCTGTTAAACCATTTGATGGTGCACTTGGATAATAACTCGCACGTCTACGAGCAGAAAGAAATGAGAGTTTTTTTATACGATTAGTTGATTCAATATTTAATTTTGCTGATTTTTGTTGTTGTTGTTGATTATTTTCTGTTTGAGAATCTGATGCTGTTCCGCTGGAAGAAAGTCTTTGTCGAGAGGTTGCATCGGCAGACACACGTCGAGTTCCGCCATCCGGTATCGAAAGTGTAGTTCGATATATACGATTTGATTGTGGTTCTTCTAGTTGTTGTTGTTGCAATTCAGATTGATTCTTAAGTTTTTCTAAAGCTCGACTATATACACTATCGGATGTCGTATGTTCATCATTCATATCTGAATCTTTAACACTTTGATATCGTCGACGTGCAGGACGATCACGATTATGCATTGGATTTGCAAATACTTGAGAATCAGCTGATGATGAACGATGTGCACGTTTATATATATTTGTAAAAAGTGTATGATTAAAATTA